TCATCCCTTTGTTGTGTTTGAGGGTTGAGCCTTTTGCTTCACTTATGAGCCAATATGTATGCATGCTTGCCTAAGCTTTTGGGGCTACCATCTTAGCATGTTTTTGGTGTTATTTTACCATGTTACAACTTTGATGTTTGTTGGTGAAGTCACTTCATGCTTGGTTTTGGTATGTGTAGTGTAATCCCACTAATTGGCCTTGCATGTGTCATGCTTTATGCCTCCCATTCTAACATGTGTTAGCTCTACTCCATTCATGTTTTGGCATTGTTTTGACTTGCCTTGGGACTATTTTAAGTCATCTTGGCCCTTTGGGGCTTGCTTGATATGGCTACGGTGCAAGTGCCTTAGTTAGTCTTGAGTTTTGAACACTTTGGCATGCTTTACTTGAGCTATTTGCATGATATGGTATCATTTGGCATGGTTTTTTAGAGTATATACTTCCATCATGCACTCATATATGTCACTCTTTCAATGTGTTTGAAAGTTAAGCCTTTTGCCTTGCTTGCGAGCAAATGAATGAGCATGCACATCTTGCCTTTTTTGTGCCTAATTCTTAATGTGTTTTTGCCACTGTTTTGAGATGTCTTAGGTCTATCCATATGTGGTTTGACCATTTGAGATTGATAGTGTATGCCTCATGTGTAATATGTTTCATTAGCTTTGATGCCTTAGCTTTTAAACATGCCACGCATGCATTATTTACATGATGAAGTCTTGCGCATGTCACTTTAGCATTGAAGGTTGATCATCTTGTTTGCGTTGCATGTGTTTGGATTGGACGTTAATCCAAACGTGAGGAATGTCGAATGTTTCATACTTAAAGTGATGAAACGTGTAGCATTTCTTGGTCGCCGTCCCTCTTGATCAAGCATGATAGAGGTGGAGACCCTTATGTGTTATTTGTGCATTCATTGACATTGACTTGTGCAAACTTGGCTTCTCGGCCATTGCGCATTGCGATGCTCGGTTGGTGGCCCGAGAGTCAAGTACTGCACTCCCTTGAGCTTGAGAAATGATAGGGAAGGTGGTTGTGCACACATATCTTGCAAATACACTGCTATCCCCGTTGTTGTTCTGTGTTGCAGCAATACTGGAGCTTGACAAATTAACTGGTCGGCCGACCAGTAAGGGTGATCGACTGACCACTTTTTCTGGTCTATAACCAGTTTTTCTGGTCTACAGCCCCCTTTTCTAGTCGGCAGCCCACCAGGAGGTCCCCATGTTGGAGTAGAAGCAATCTGGAAGTTGGTGCACTTTTCAGAGATCAAATCAAATGCAAACAGAGGCAATTCTGGGCATGGCAATGGATTTCCGAGCGAGGCGATCGAGCATGCATGCACCCCTCGCCCCGAGGACCTCTTTTAACTTCTTTAGCTGCTTTACTTAGTTAGCTGATTCGTCAGTTTTGTACTTAATTAGTTAATGTGCTTAATTAGTCGATTTGTTTTGTAATAATTAGTTAACTAGGAATAGTTAATCAGTTTTGGTTTGTAATAATTAGTTTAATTAGCGTAGCTAATTAGCTTATTATTCGGACCCTCCGTCGAGAGGGAAAATGTTGTAATAAGTGTGCGTGAGTGTGTGAATGTCTTCCAACCCCACGTCTCTCTCCCTTTTATTTACCAGCTTTTGATGGTTAGTTTTAGGGCATGTTTCAATTAGCATCCTTATGCTTTGCATGCGTGCATCATTCATTTGTTTTGCATGCACCGGGCTCGATGCATCATTCAAACTGCATTGTATTTCAATACGCTTCTTTGAATACATGTATCAATTGTTGCATTCATATGCCATCGTAGATAGCCAAGCCTACTTAGTTGCATTTCGCATGTGTTACATTAGGCATTGTTGACATAGCTAGGGTCATGCATGATTACTAACTAGCTTCTGTTTTGGCTCGAAGTACGCTATGAGTATTTATGCTTTAGCATCGTTGCATGTGTGTAAGTGACTACCATGATAGCATGCTTGCCATGAGGCTATTTGCTTAAGTGTTTAACTGCATGAATGCCTGTGGATGAAGGCTTTATTACTTGAATTGAAACGATTCATCAAATGTGAGTTTTAAGCCCACTTGAGGTGGCAAATCATGTTGTTTTAAGCCCACTTGAGGGTGGCAAATCTGCGCTTTAGCCTACTTGCGAGTAGCACATTCAAATCATTTTCGAAGACAAACATGAGATGTTTTGTTCCAATTTGAGCGATTTAGTCTATACTTGTGTGTTGTGCGCATCACATAGTAAGTTAAGCTAATAATCAGAATAAGAACACATGTGTTTATAAAACAACATATCATGTTAGTAGAGGCCGATCTTTGATCGAGCGAGCGGGGTGCTCATTGCATGACCTTCCCCTCTCGTACCCAAGTTCCCGAGCCATGGCAGCAGTATCCCCGCTTCCAAAAAAAAGAAGGTATATTTATTTTTAGGAAACATAATTATGTTAAGCGTCAGTTTATTCATTTTTTAATTTTTTGGGATCATATCATTTCTTTATTTTTTCACACATTTTTTTTAAAAAAAAATTCAAAAAATTAAAAAAATCAACTTTTAATCTATTATAATAATAATTTAAAAAAAAAATAGTCATAATTAAAAAAGAAAATGACATAATTAAGGGTGCATATGGCACCCTCCTTTCAAAGGTATGCATGTTAGAATTTCCCATTTAGGTAACATAAACTCTAAATTACAACATATTTATAATAAAAAAAAAGACCCTAAATTATTACATATTATCATATTTACCTCGTTGTCTTTGAAATTTGGCATTGGCTTCCTGGACTCCGACCCATGAAAAAGCGGATTTCAATAAGGGAAAATTACTTATAAGTGGGATTTAGGAAGAAAAATTACTGGACATTAGTAAGTTTTATGAAATAACAATCGCAATGGAGGATACAAAATTAATTATCAAAAAATCATTTTTTTTTAAAAGATTTTAAATTGACCAATATACCATCTTGACGTCTTTTTCTTAACTTTCATCCATTTCATGTCATTCATTCACTCACACTGTTTATAGAGAAGATTTTACTTCCGATATTCATCTTTGAGTCAATAATAATGCTATACAAGTAAAAAAATTATACATAATTTTTATACATAAGGATGTGGTTCATTATGAACATTTCACTTCAAAATAAAACACCATTGAGGATGAATTTATTTACAATAATGACATTACCACATCATTTTTGTAGAATTTTTTATATAAATTTTATGTATGAATAGAATTTTCTAACTTATAAACCAATCACGAGAAATGAATTATGTTTCTCACCATTTCTTATCATTTTTCACAAAATCATCCTCGTCAAACGGAGTGTAAGGGTTGCTATTGTAGAAAATATGTATGAAAACTATATTGAAATATGTGAAAAATCTTTTGAGATATGTGAACAATGTATTAAGATTAGAGTAAATTACATTGGTAGTCCTGGCAATTTGCCCATTATATTATTTTGGTCCTTATAATTTCAATTAGCTCAATTTTGACCTTTGATTTTAAATTGTGTCAATTTAGTCAAATTAATAACATCAATTAGGGTTTTTAAGAAAAATAGTCACCAAGTTGGTTGAGATTAACTCACTGAGTTGAACAAGTTTATAATTGTCTATAAAATCATAATACATGTCGCTTATGTGCACATTTTCTTTCAAAAAAAACTAACAATTATAATAAATTAGATTAAATTGACACAAAATTATAAATTCAATGTCAAAATCGAGTCAATTGAAATTATAAAAATCAAAATGACACAAGGGCAGAAATGTAAGGACTATCGGTGTAATTTGTTCGTAAGATTATAAATATTTTAATATTGTGTGCATCTTATTGACAACCCTTAGAACTACCATCAGTAGGACAAATCGACCACGAGCTATTTATGAACGATTCGGTTCGTTTGTAGGAAGTTTTGGATTTAGTTAGAAAGGCGGGAAAAATTATGGGAAAATTATAAATCAATGGTGCCTTCACAAAATATTTACAATTCATGAAAATATATCATTTTAATTATTAAACTTGATAAAATTTATCATTCATTTAATTTTATTTTTGAAAACATGAACTGAATTGCAATTTCTCGTAAAATTATCAAATATACTTGTATACAACGTGACTATGTGTATACCCATTTCCCACATGAATCCGTGATCATGTTGTCTCATTTCTCTAACAAAGTGGTCACATACCTCTCATATAGGAGTTCAGATCCTCTTGAGTTCCTTCTCTAGAGTGATCTCTCTACCATTCGATCCAATGGTTGAAATTAAGAGAAATCAAAATGATGTCGTTTTGATTAAGTCCAAAAAAACAAAAAACAACGCAAAATGAAGAGAGAGACGGAGAAGAGACCCCTCTTTTCCCTCTCAATCGACAAAGGGAGTCTTTTGGTGGTGCAGGAGATTGAAGATCGCTTGGTGGACCCAGAATTTTCTATTTCCCTATGTAGTTGCATTGTGTGTTTTCGTTGTGTTACTATTGTTATACTAACTTGCAGTTTGGGATTTTTTATTATACTAGGAGATTGTTGGTAGCATTGTGTTTTTTTAAATTTTTTCAACACTTTCTACTAGTAAATTTTTGTTTTCCTCATAATAAAGATTATATTCATATTTCCCATTAGCTATATACATTGATTAAGTTTTAGTTTTCTGTCTAACTAATAGGTCACTAATACCATTACACCATCAGATTAAGTTTTAGATTAATATATGATGAAAGTGAAATCAACATAAATGAAACATTTTCCCCATTCCTCAATAATTTATATGAGTGATGTTGGTTAGTATTTAATGTATAATAATTTCATAATCCATCACATTATGAGCTAAATCTTTCTCCTTTTTTTTTTTTTTTTTTCTCTTTTTTATCTTCTGTGGCATCAGTTTTTTTTTTTTTGTTTTGAGCCAAGCTCTCTTATGTACAATAGAACAACTCGAGAGCATAAATCAAAAAACGAAACTTTGACAAAACTAGATAGAGAAGGCATACATGTAAACATATAGAAACCTTAACTAGTGATAAATATTTGATGACAATGCCACAAGTACAACCACTTTCATGCCTTTTCTAGCTTAACAATTATAGACTCAGAAAAGAAAAGAGGGGGGAGAAGAAAAGTGAGGGAAAGAAAATTCTAGAACATCAAAATAACATACAGATACGGCTTTAGTTAAGAATCATTTCTTCTTCCATCCTAATGCCTTTGTCCTCTAACCCCAAGAAATACATTTCTAATCTTGTGTAGTTCTTTGAGAACATCTTTCACACTCATTCTCTCAGTCGGCATTTCAGCAGAACATGAAACTCCAATTTGAAGGACTGGTACTAGGCAAGCCTCTAGTTTAGAAATGTTAGTTGTACTACTTTCCCTGCTCTTACTTGGCTCGTCTTCCATTTCCAATATGATTTGGGGATCAACGATCTTCATTACGTGCTTCGGAAGACACATTTTTATGTAGTTATGGAGGTTTAAATTGCCTGTAAACATGTTATTAGTTGGTCTTTTTCTTGTGAACATTTCCAGTAGTAACACTCCATAACTGTACATATCACCTTGTGTTGATACCTCCTCACCCATACCATACTCTGCAATATGAAGTAGTGAAAAAAAAAATGCCCAAATTTTTTAATTTTGGTATGATTGCTAAACTAGTAAGTTATATTTCTTTCGCAGAAAAAAAAAAGAAAAAAAAACTTCAACATTTCAAAAGATAAAATTATCTCAAGGGTTAATATCTATGTTCGAATACTATAGAGGTAGGACAAGAGTTGATTTTTAATTTGTTGCGGTAGCTATACAAACAACAAGGTAAAGCCAAGGAAAGTCATCTATAAAAGTAGGCTTAATTTCTATATAATCTTGTAATTGGTTTTTAGTTTATCGCAAAGTAATAATATAATGTAACTAGATAATATTTCTTAATCAATTACAACATAAAAAGCAATAAATATAAACAATTACCTGGAGCAACATAGCCAATTGTTCCTCTCATCCCATTTGAACTTGATTCCTGATGATTGGATATTCCAATGGTTGTTGAAAAAATCTTTGCCAAGCTGAAATCACTAACATGGGCACACAAGTCACCGTCAGGAAGAATATTACTTGGCTTTAAATCACAATGAATAAAAGCCATTTCACAATGATGGTGAAGATAATCCAATGCACATGCCACATCGATGGCAATGTTTAGCCTTTGAACAAAGTTCAAGTTCTTAGGTTCATGTTGCTCTAAAAGACTTGGGTGTAACCAATTTTCTAAGCTCCCATTTTCCATGAACTTGAAGACAAAAGCCTTGAAATCGTTGCCTTGAAAATCAATGCTTGAGCAAGCTGTAATTATCTTGACGAGATTTCGATGGCGAATGTTCTTCAATGCTTCACATTCTGTAAGAAAACTCTTGTTCGCTCCATGTTCGTGTAGTTTGAGCACCTTCACAGCAACAATTTGTTCATCGGAGTTGAGAATCCCCTTATAAACATAACCATGGCCTCTCTCACCAATTAAGTTGGCTGGAGAGAATCCATTGGTTGCTTGAAAAAGTTCTCTATAAGAGAGTTGTAAATATTGGTTTTGCAAAGGCAAGGCTAATTTGACATGCTGTCTTGACCTTTTGTTTTGGTAAATAATAGCTAAAATGCCCAATGATAATAGAACAATAGTGAGAGTAACTATTAGAACTATTACTCTATGGTTGAAAGGTCGTTTCCTTTCATTTAAGGCTTGCATAGGGCATGCAGGCAATTGCAATAGTCTAATTCCTCCGCATAGCTTACTATTTCCAACAATTGAGAAGGCACTAATGTTTGTGAAAACTCCTCCATTTGGAACTTCATCATCAAACATATTGTAGGAAAGATTGAGATATTGAAAGAATCGAAACTCCCCGAGAAACCTTGGAATCTGTCCAGACAAGTTGTTCCTAGAAACATCTAGTTCTTGAATACCTTTCAATTGTTTGAAGGTTGTCGGAATTGTACCTTCGAAAAGGTTACCTTCGATGTAGAGGAATACTAAAACTTCACAATTGCCGAGAGTGGCGGGGATTTCTCCAAATAGTTTATTTTCTGATACAAATAGTGCATTCAGATTTTTCAACTTACCCACTTCTTGTGGTAGTAGTCCTATTAAGTAATTTTGACTTAAGGATAGACTAATGAGGGAAGACAAACCAAAGATTTGATAGGGTATTGCTCCCATGAGATGATTGTAATCAAGATGAATGCGTTGTAGATTGGTACAATTGTGTAAATATAGCGATCCCGGGTTTACCCTTGTTGTACAGTGATCCGGACATGTGTCCGTGAATGTTGATAGTTGATTATTATCTTGTTCACATCCTTTCTTTATTTGTATTTGAGTTATAGGATGTGTTGGGCAGGTGTGTTGCAAGTTGGTTGAGTCTAGAAACCAAAACTAGTTGCCCAGATTCTTGCCTCCATCCGGGAATGGGTGATGTTGGGAGCACTTGGTGAGTTTGATTTGCTACTGGGCGAATCTGTTGAGGCTGCGGCCTTGTTTTCTGTTGTTGCGCAGCCTACACTTGTGACTCTGTGCAGGCCTCGAGGGCCAATCCGGGAGCTTCGTCATCCCAGTCTGTGCAGCAGTCTTTTGCTCCGAGAGGTGAGCAGGTAGACCAGGGGCCTACGGGGCGCGTGTATGCTGTTACCGCGCAGGATTTAGTACCGGCTCCATCAGTAGTGAGAGGTACTTTTCTGTTTTGCAACTCGGTTGCTAATGTGTTGATAGACACGGGTACATCTCATTCTTTTGTATCTGCTGCATTTGCATCTGACTGGGCTGTGGCTCACCCTATATGGGAACATCATTTTCAGGTGCAGGAAGCATGCCACCTCCAAGGACATAGCTGGGACAACCTGGGCACATGAAGAGGCTTTGCCCATTGTGGATATAGCTTTTATGCTTATCTGAATGTGAGATATAGTTTTTATACATATCTGTGGAAATGATAATAGAGCTAGCATGCTTATCTGCTGAAAAAGGGAAATGAAAGGTAACTTAGATTCATAAGTTGTATGACATAAATATGTGATTTATGTGAATGTATCAAAAAAAAACTTCAACATTTCAAAAGATAAAATTATCTCAAGGGTTAATATCTATGTTCGAATACTATAGAGGTAGGACAAGAGTTGATTTTTAATTTGTTGCGGTAGCTATACAAACAACAAGGAAAATTCAAGGAAAGTCATCTATAAAATTAGGCTTAATTTCTATATAATCTCGTAATTGGTTTTTTGTTTACTGCAAAATAATAATATAATGTAACTAGATAATATTTCTCAATCAATTTCAACATAAAAAGCAATAAATATAAACAATTACCTGGAGCAACATAGCCAATTGTTCCTCTCATCCCATTTGAACTTGATTGCTGATGATTGGATATTCCAATGGTTGTTGAAAAAATCTTGGCCATGCCGAAATCACTAACATGGGCACACAAGTCACCGTCAAGAAGAATATTACTTGGCTTTAAATCACAATGAATAAAAGCCATTTCACAATGATGGTGAAGATAATCCAATGCACATGCCACATCGATGGCAATGTTTAGCCTTTGAACAAAGTTCAAGTTCTTAGGTTCATGTTGCTCTAAAAGACTTGGGTGTAACCAATTTTCTAAGCTCCCATTTTCCATGAACTTGAAGACCAAAGCCTTGAAGTCGTTGCCTTGAAAATCAATGCTTGAGCAAGCTGTAATTATCTTGACGAGATTTCGATGGCGAATATTCTTCAATGCTTCACATTCTGTAAGAAAACTCTTGTTCGCTCCATGTTCGTGTAGTTTGAGCACCTTCACAGCAACAATTTGTTCATCGGAGTTGAGAATCCCCTTATAAACATAACCATGGCCTCCCTCACCAATTAAGTTGGCTGGAGAGAATCCATTGGTTGCTTGAAAAAGTTCTCCATAAGAGAGTTGTAAATATTGGTTTTGCAAAGGCAAGGCTAATTTGACTTGCTGTCTTGACCTTTTGTTTTGGTAAATAATAGCTAAAATGCCCAATGATAATAGAACAATAGTGAGAGTAACTATTAGAACTATTACTCTATGGTTGAAAGGTCGTTTCCTTTCATTTAAGGCTTGCATAGGGCATGCAGGCAATTGCAATAGTCTAATTCCTCCGCATAGCTTACTATTTCCAACAATTGAGAAGGCACTAATGTTTGTGAAAACTCCTCTATTCGGAACTTCACCATCAAACATATTGTAAGAAAGATTGAGATATTGAAAGAATCGAAACTCCCCGAGAAACCTTGGAATCTGTCCAGACAAGTTGTTCCTAGAAACATCTAGTTCTTGAATACCTTTCAATTGTTTGAAGGTCATCGGAATTGTACCTTCGAAAAGGTTACCTTCGATGTAGAGGAATACTAAAACTTCACAATTGCCGAGAGTGGTGGGGATTTCTCCAAATAGTTTATTTTCTGATACAAATAGTGCATTCAGATTTTTCAACTTACCCACTTCTTGTGGTAGTAGTCCTGTTAAGTAATTTTGACTCAAGGACAGACTAATGAGGGAAGACAAACCAAAGATTTGATAGGGTATTGCTCCCATGAGATGATTGTAATCAAGATGAATGCGTTGTAGATTGGTACAATTGTGTAAAGAAATAGGAATGTTTCCCTTAATCATATTTGTTGATAGGTCAAGTACACCAAGCCTACTCAGGTTTCTAATAGACGATGGAATCTCTCCAGAGATGTTATTTTGGTCAAGCGAGAGTTTTTCCAACATGGACAGTTTTCCAATGGAATTTGGAATGCTACTTATAAGCATGTTCTCACCTAGATTGATGGATTTCAAATTGACAAGGTTCCCAATATCAAGAGGTATGCTTCCAGATATATAGTTGCTTCGTAGAATCAACCAAGTGATCTGGGAGAGATTTGCAATAGAATGAGGCAACAAACCTTTAAATTGATTTGTAGCCAAATCCAAAATTTGTAGATTGGAACAATTGGATAAAGAAGTGACGATGCTCATTAATTCATTGCCAAGTGAATTTTGATGAGCATTTAATACTTCCAAAGCATCAAGTGTTCCCAGAGTTTTAGGCATGGACCCAGTAAAAGAATTTCTGCTAAAATCAATTTGCACAAGTCCCGTTGCATTGGCTATTGACGATGGAATTTGGCCATAGAATTGATTGGATTCAACATAAAATCCTAGCAAATTTTGAAGTGTCAAGCCTAAATCTGGTGGTAGAATTCCATGCAATTGGTTGAAAGTGATGGAGAATAAATAGATTGATGAGATGTTGTAAAGCGAATTAGGAACCATACCAGACAAATTGTTTGCCGACAACTGAAGAAACTCCAACTTGGAAAGCTGCCCAAGTTGGGTGGGAATGCTTCCCTCTAGATTATTGTACATTAGACCAAGCAAACTTAGAATGGTAAGGTTCCCAATTGATGGTGGGATAGTTCCAGTGAAATGATTGTTTGAAAGTTTCAAGGACATCAGTTCGGACAAAGAACCTAGCTCGGTAGGAATTTTACCTCCTAGACGGTTACCACGCATATCGATATATCTCAAGTGTGAACAATGAGTCAAATTGGTTGGAAATTCACCTTGGAAAGAGTTATTCAAAAGCAGAAGGTGCTGCAGATGAAACAACTTGCCAAGTTCTTGTGGGATTTCGCTATGAAAACTATTGTTACCGAGATCAATCCTCCTGAGGAAGGTGAGGTTCCCAATTTGAGGAGATATAGAACCCACCAATGCGAGAGATGATATGTTTAGGACTGTCACACGTTGATGTCGACGACCGCATGAGACTCCTTGCCAATTGCAAAAGTGAATGGAATGATTCCATGAGCTCAAGGCACCCAGAGGATCTCCTTTTATCAAATCTTTGATTGCAAGCAGAGCCTGATGGTCTGTTTGGTTGGTGAGAACTAAACTGGGGTTGCCCTTGGCAGTGGTAATTAGTTCAAGAGGATTCATGAAAAAGAAAATGAAACAAAGTACAGATGTACTAAGTAGACAACTGAGAAAAGTTGAATTTGTTTGCTCCATATTTGGTGTCAAATATAGAATAGTAATATTATGATGAGAAATGGTGCTGATCAACTTGTATACACAAATGGAGAGCCAAATATATGTACTTATAGAGCCAAAGCCTTGGGACTTCTTCGTGTTTTTTTTTTTTTTTTTTGTGGCCAAATTATGCTGATAATTCCTATATTTTGATCCTTATGCCATTTTGGTATTTGTAATTTTAATTGGCTCAATTTTAATATGAAATTTATGATTGTCTCAATTTGATCCAATTAATTTCAACTTTTAGTATTTTTAATGAAAAATATGCACACAAACATCATGTGTCATGCTTTTATATAAAAATTGTAAATTATTCAACTTAGTGAGTTGACCTGAACAAACTCAGTGGCCATTTTCTTTTGAAAATCCTAATCGACATTGAGCTAATTAAAATAGCATGAACCAATTATGAAAAGTTAACCCAAAATGAGCTCAAAGTTAAGCTCAAAATTAACCCAAAATAAGCCTATAAAATTAAAATTTCCGACACTTTATTGATGCAGTCTAGTTTGTATTTTGCATTGTACTTTCTTTTACATACATCAATAATTTTCTTTTTAATAATTTTTATTGATTTAAAATATATATATATATTGACGACAAAATTTGTGGCTGAGTTCAATAACGTATAAATTGGTTTTCCAATAAAAATCCACTTCAACTTTTTCAAAGTTGAATTCGGGGAAATATAACTTTGATATGGAACTTAATCGGAAATTATGAGTCTATTTGGCACTGTTTATAATTTTTATTTTTTTTGCCATAGTGATTGGTATAGTTTTACTTACAATTATTAAGTAGGGAGAGTTTTTATTTTTTGATTATTAACTTTTAGTTTGTTAGAAATTGAACCTTGTATGATCTAAAAAGTACTTTGAAAAGTAATTTTAAAATATAGTATATGTATGATATAAATTTAAACTTGATGTTACATGAATCAACATTCATAATAAACTTGATCTACAAATTTTATTTTTTAAATAATTCTCAAGAATTATTTATTTTTTGTTTTGTTTTCTGTTGGATAAGGGAAGGCGGTGCCGATGGTGGGTGACGGTAGGCGGCAATGAGTTATGAAGATAGATGGATAAGTATGGAGAAATTAAGGGTGCGTTTGGTTTGATTTTGAGATGATTTTGAGAGATAAATTTTCATAAAAACATTTGGAGAGAGAGTTTAGAATTTTTTTGGTTTGTTTGGTTATATATTTTGGAAATAGTTTTAGAGTATGGGAGTTTGTGATAATTTGATATTTTGTTGTAGTTGAGTAGATGTGTGTGAGAAAAAAAGTGATTGATTGATGTATAAAATAGAGAAAATGAATTTGAAAATTTTTAAATCACTAAACCAAACAAAATTTAAAATTTTTTTTCCAAAATGACTCTCTCACAAGCAAAACAAACAAGGCCTAAATTTTTAGATTTTAATTTATTTTAGTTTGGTTTAAATTTCTAAAATTTGGTTTAAGTATGAATTTATAATATTTTTTTTGGTAAAATGGTGAGTGTAAATACAAATTTTCGTCAATTCAACTTACAGAGTTTGGTTGATGGTTAAAATTGAGATCAGATTAAAAATATCATATTTAAATTAAAATAATTAAAAATTTAGAATTTAATTTGTTGTGAGCAAGGGTGTGCGCAATGCGGTTCAGACAATTTGAAAGTAAAATTACAAATCAAATGGCCGATTGGCAAATAGTAGTTTGGACAGATTGGCTAATTGAAGAATATTTTAAGGTGGTGTTTGGCAAGTTGGGTTGGGGCTAAAATAGCCACAAAAGACAAAATAGGCTATTTTAGCCACAACAAACAAAACATCACATCCAACCCATAATCATTACACTCTTCTCTCACAAAAAAAAGTCAAAAAAGTCAAAAAGCCAAAAAGTCAAAAAGCCCTTCCCAAACCAAGCTTTTTAGCCTAGGCTAAAATAGCAAAAAAAGCCAAAAAGCCAACTCACTTCCCAAACGGAGGCTAACTAATTGTCAAATATTTGCATAATATATAATAGTAATTTGGATAATATTTTTCAGATATATAACACAAACTAATTTTACATAATAAATTTCATACATATAACTATTAATTTGTAACAAATTTCACATGCTAAATCTCTTTTACACTTATTTTTATTTTGATTTTTCATTAGAGATTAAAAAATATAGATGTATTAACTATAGCGGAGAAAACTGTTTCGAAAACAGATTATAAATTTTAAAGTTTAATCCTCGAGTAGCGGATACGGTGTTGATTAATGCAAATCGTTGCAATTTTAGCTGATTGAGCGGTATTTTGTACGGCGCTAATTATGAAAGTCAAACTTGATTTTTTTTTGAGAAAATAGGTGAGAGCGTGAGAGAAAACAAAAGAAAATGAAAAACAAACAAAAGAATTATGAAAATTTTTTCTTCCTGAAGGATCTATATCTATATAATTATAAACTGCAAAACATTGGTAGGTGTTTGAAGTTTAAACTCATTAACTTTTCTTAGATTTTTCAACTATACCCATTTGATACCCACTGTAAATGTGTTCACGTCATCTAGTGGTACCCACTGTAAATGTGTGACATCATCTAGTGGTACTCACTGTGAATGTGTTCACGTCGTCTGCAAACAACGTCTCGTTCACCTCGCACAAAAAGATTCAAAACCCTATTCCCCCCTCGGAACCCCTTTGTAAACGGGAATTTCACCCCTCTCCAAGCGTGTGATCACACATTTAACAAAAAAAAAAAAAAATAGTGTAGGCTGGACTAACTGACCCTTTGACATTCGGACCTCTGTTTAACAATGAAAAATTCAATGCAATACAATATAGGAGTTTTCTTAAGTGTGCAAGTGCACACCATGTGCCACTTACACAAAAAGTGTAAGTGTAAGGTGTAAGTATAAGTATAAGGTGTAAGTGTAAGGTGTAAGTGGGTTGCATATGGTGTGCAACCTCAAAAAAGGTGTAAGTGTAAGGTTTAATTTTTTACAAAATGTGTAAGTGTAAGGTGTAAGTGTAAGGTATAAGGTGTAAGGTGTAAGTTGCACACCATAATCAAACCCGTCTAATTAATACCCATCCACGTTTGAAAAAGGATTTATTGGTCACACATTAGATTTCTCAATCAACCATTTAAAACACGAGATCAAATAGTACAAAAGTTCCCAAATTGGGACTTTCCAATAAATTTTCCTAAAATAATTGAACATTTTAAATAAAATTGAATTAAGTTATCTGGTAAAGAAATAAATTAGGAGTTTCCATTAATTACCATTAAATCTTTTTAAAAATTTTCCCTTCAGATCTATCTTTCAAATTTTAATCCAAAATTATGAAATTAAAAAAAATTAAAATTAAAATTAAAATTTCATCTCACAAACTTCTCTCCCATTTTCATCATTTTTTTTTTCATTTTTAATTATTCTACATTTGTTTTAATATAATTTCGCTTAAATTATTGGTTTCATCAATTTGTTAATTTTTATCTATTATGTATACTATATATTATTACAAAATATTTCGGGTCTTTGAAGTTCTTATTTGCAATACATATTTTTTTGCTATTGGTTCTCCCAACTTTTTGTTTTTATCTTTTGAATTTCAATAGTTATTCATTTTTTTTTTAAATTATACTTCTTCTAAATAATCCGTAAAGATAATTTTTGAAAAAAAAATATATATATATATATACATTATAAAAGATAAACTACTCCTTTATTATTTTGATTATACTTCAAATGGTATTCAACTATAACCCATTATGTTTAACACCACAAATTATGATAATTTGCATATAGCACGTACTCTAAAAGAGGGTGTATATTGCACAAGAATCCTATCAGTTAATATTATAATTTGATTCACAAATCTAATTTTTAAATTATTATTATTTTTTTGGTGCATATATATTTTCTGAAAACGATAATGTTTGAGTTATGTGGTTAGGAGTTTGCTTCAAAGGTCAAATTGATGTAAACCTGTAGAAATTATTAAACAACAATGACCAAAAATACACGGTCAGATTAACGTAAATATGGGAATAAGTGTGAAGCAGATTTTTAGGTGTGAACATGTAAATAGGGATGTGTTTCCGTTTCCTGAAAAAGCGCACTAATAGTATTTTGTTGTTTGGCAATGAAAAATGGGTGAAAGTTCTAATTAGAGTTACCACTAGTGATATGACAGTGGATCCTACTTACTATTACAATTTATATTTTATTTATTTATTTATTTATTTTATTTTGCCACTTCATTAGTGATGAATTTAAAGTAATTAAATTAGTGATTTCTAACACCACGGTTTTGCAACAGTGTGAAGTAGATTTTTAGGTGTGAACACGTAATGCGGGTGTGTGTGTTTCCGATTCCTGAAAAAGAGTACTAACAATATTTTGTTGTTTTGCAATAAGTGTGAAGTAGATTTTTACAAACATGTTCCGTAATAAAACCAGGCAGAGTAAATATGAAGGCCTTGAATCTTCCTA